CCCAGGAAGCTAGGCTAGGGAAGGAATCTTGCAAGAGGAGAAAAAGAGGTGGATTTCTTTCCTTTAAACCTAATCTGATGATTTCAATCTATATATCCTAATGTCTCTCCAGTGTTCTGACCATCTTACTTCTTTTTAAGAATGCTACCGCAGGGAATTAACACAAGTAACTTCCCATCTGATTAAACACATCTGCCATAAACATAGGAGGTGCCTCTGAGCGCAATGGAATTATCAGAACTCCTGATAGAAAATTTACAGAAGCTTGGAAGCACTAGTGGGTTAAAAGACAGCTTTTCTTAGATTTTACAACAACCAAGCTGAAAATCTAGTTATAACTTAATGTCCTTGAAACAATGGCATAAGAAAAATATTAATATAGTGGAATTGCTCATAAAAGTACAAATCCAAAAGTGTTTTAAGGTTATGTGTAAATTTCAAATGGAAGGTTAAAAATCAAGGTGGGCATGCAGGCACATTCCTGCAATTCCAGCACTCTGAGACTGAGGGCGAAAGGGTGCTGTAAGTTTAAGGACAAGTATGTCTCTTTGCAAGTTCCAGACAAGCCAGTTGGTGAGACCTTGTCTAATGAAAGCTTAAATCACTCCCTCATACAAAAGTTAGCATGCATTTAAGATATTTATTTGATTTATTGCTGAGGAAACCTTTAAGTTGCAATAATTAGTTCCAAAAAGAACCCAACAGCAGACACAAGTGCAGGTTGGGATGACTGAAATCAATGGACAAATGCAAGGCCAAGCTCACTTTTCCACAGAGGCTGGGGAGTCAAGCAAACCTCTGTGGGACATCATTTCCATGTAAATAGATACAAATTTGTTCTACCAAAGTCCCCCGCTTTTCCTCCAGGGATATATTTTAAAGTCTTTCATACTGAACCCTAAAAAACTGTCATCTATTTTCTTATGTGTATACCTATGATAAAGCTGAGCTTATAAATTGGCCATAGAAGAGTAACCAATGAAACATTACAATAAAAGCTAGGTGAACACAGTATCTCCCAAACACAGCTGTTTCCACTAAATATTGGCAGACTATTGTTGGTTATTAGTAATTAATATCCTGTTAGTAATTAAAATCAGTATTTAAAGCAGAAGGGTAGACAAAAGCCGGAGGCTGGTGCACTTAGTTACCTAAAACCCAGACTTGGAAAACAGCTCCTTCCATTTAGAATCAGGTAACACAATGGTGTAATGGTATTTTAAGGACACACACTTGTCCCCCCCCCCCTGCCACATGGATCCACGATTGCATTATTTCCGTATTTCTCAAACCCACAGAGTGGTGAATGCTCCATAAACAAATGCTAAATAGATGAAAGCCCACTATTTGTCAGCATTAAGTTTGGCCCTTCACACATACCATCCCGTTTAATCCTCCCAATAACCCTTTAAGTTAAACATCGCTCTCATGCTACTGATGGGGACTAGGTTGTGTGACATCAAGCAGCTACTGTGTCTTAAAGACTGGGGTAAAAAACAATGAGGATGATTGGACGGAGGAAACCGACCTACTGCTTCTCCCCTTCTGTCCATGTAATGTATGCTCCTTTTAATTACCATCATTGGACTGGCTGCCTGGACATCGAGGGGTGTTTGTGTTTTATGCTGCATTGACAGGACATGCTCCCACAGTGAGCAAGAACCTGTTTCTCCTTGTTTGAAGAAAAATAAATGAACAGCATCCCTCAGAAGACAGGTAAATAATCTTGTTCATGGCCTTTCAGATTAACACAGGCTATGTACCAGCCCAAACTGTTTTGTTTCCCCTTTGGGCACTGCTTTCCCAGTGTTCAGTAGAATAGAGCTAGAGATCAACACGGCTTATACGTGTGGTCTGTTTTCTCAGAAATCAGAACAGTGTGTAGGAGAACTGCAGCAGTCCACATTTATTGCATGCTTCCTGCTATGTGGTCCATTTTCTCAGCAGTACCATGAGGGGGGGTGGGTGCTGGAACTAGCTCTCTTGCAAACTGGAGTGCACTGAGCACACTGGGAATGCGGCAGGTCTGGGCTTTGACCTATTCCTTGCAGCATCTCCTGTCATTTTTCCAAGTCACTCTACTGGTTACACAGGCTCTTGACATCACGTTTTAGTTGGTCATTGCTGTTGTTCTGAGGCAGGGTCCCATGTATCCTAGGCTAGCCTGTGACTCACTAGATAGTTGAGGATGACATTGAGCATCTGATTTTCCTGTTTCTACTTCTCGGAACATGTCAAGATTATAAGTATGTACAACCACCGTTGGTCTGTGTGATGCTGGGGCCCAAACCCCAGGCTCTGGATAGGACTGCCTAGGCAGTCTGCCCATTTAAGTATGCTCTTAGCCCTGTTTTTATTTTTATTTTTTATGAACTTCCCTTCCCTGGTTATCATCACAGACTCTAAGGGTACTGGGTTTCCCACAGCTTGCAATGTCAGGTGGCCAGCTACTGCAGACTGGAACAAATTCTGGAAGTTAGTTTCTGGTTACACGGGACTTGGGATGATTTAGGTACTATATGTTCATCCTGAGAGGAGCAGAGGTCAGAGAACAAGGGAAGGGAGTGGTGTTCTGTGGCTTTCAACAGGTGAATGTCTAAAAGATATGGACCAAATGTTAGTCTGAAATCATTCTCTCTGCCCCCCAAGCCCCTAAGTAATTCCCTGCTTTCTTTGTCTGACAGAAATAGGTTAATCTTAGAATAAAGTCATGAGGTTTCTTTTTCTTTTTTCAATTCCAGGTAAGACTTTACATAAATAAGAACATAGTCTTGCAGGTAGATGGGCTATCCTAGTGGCTTACCTATATAATTAATTTAATTTCCCCAACTCTGTGATGTTTTTAAGTACTATCTGTATTGTGGAGACAAAGAAGCAAGGTTGAATAACTTGCCAGAGTGAGAAGTTTTATCTTGAGTCACCCTGTATGGTGACTTAGTGCCACCACAGGTGTTTTGTGGAGACCAAAAACATGGTCTAGAGCAACTCTACAAGACACACCTCCATCTCATTCCAGGTCACTTAGCCAAGCAATTGGTTATTTCTTCCCCTCTTAGTTCATTCACTCTGAGGGTACTGTTCCCCCTCCTTATGTAAGCCTTCAGAAGACTCATCTGTCTCTTGAGGGTATGTCATAGTTTTTACCATAGCTGGGTAGTGGTGGTGCACACCTTTAACTCCAGCACTCTGCAGGTAGGAGGATCTCTGTTAGTTCGAGACCAGCTTGGTCTACAAAGTTAATTCTGGGACAGACAGGGCTACACAGAGAAACCCTGTCTCAAACTCCCCCAACACACACACACACACACACACACACACACACACACACACCACTGCTCCCAAGGAAGACCGTGAAAAGGTTTTGTCACTGCCATCAATCAGGAATTAAAGGACCATAGGCATCCATTATCTTGTGGAGAAAACTGCTATCCATCGGGCAAATAGTTACTGATGCAGTCATCACTGTTGGAGTAGAACAACAGACTCTCTGTGGGCTTTTGTTGTACATATACTTTAAGACAGAAACTAGAAAGTGAAATGCAGATTCTTCAAGGCTACGCACCCTCACTACTGTTAGGGTTCTAGGAATTTCATTCTAAAGGGCTATCATCAATGGTTGGGGGGGTACAGTAAATGACCCTTTTGGAGTCAGAAATTCACTCTTTTGTTAAATCAGCTTGAGCTATACCTGAACATGTTTATTTTATGTATAGTTACCCACTGCTTACAAAGCAAAATGCTAAATGTATCCAGCTGTATATTTTTTAAAAAATCTTGAGTGGCTAGAACTGTTTCTATGATAACTTTCCATAATGAATGACACGTTCTTGGTGACACCTTCTCCTCAACCTGGCATACCCCTTCCTTCCTTCTCTACAATTCAAGGGTGCCATTGCCTGCACATCAGACTGAGACAGACTAATGTTTCTCCAAGTAGAACATGGCTTTAGGGAAAGGTGTGCTGTCCAGGTTGCTTGGTAATCACCTGGGAAGCAATGTTTTCAATGAGGGGTTCAGTTTTCTATTAAAGGAAAGGAAGGTTCTAGATCAGACTCCTGGTTCTCAAGCATCCTTTCCCATAGAGCAGTGTTTCACAGTCCTGTCAGTCAGTGCCTCGCTGTGAAGGGGGGTGGGGAGGAGAGCTCTCAAGGTGCAGGTGGAATCTTGGCACAGGTCAAGTCCAGATATGGCCCTCCTTACTCTAGTGGGGAGCAGGAAGGTGAGGATGGGACTTTCTCACTCATGCCATCCCCTGCTGAGAGAAGTGATTGAAAAAGCCTTCTGGAACATCCTACCATCCTGCTTTTCTGATTCCAAATACTGCTTTATCCCCTCAGTGGAAAGCTTCAATAACCCCGATGAAAAAGTAGTTTCACTATGTGACTTAAATGTGTTCATCTCAGTGATGGAAGGAGTACAGCATCACTTCAGAAACTTAGACCACCTCAGGTGGGGACAAAGCAGTGTGTGCCTCATGGCTGTATGATTGACAGGACAGGACTGGTTTGGCAGCAAAGTGACTTCCCACTATTGATTCTTGTACATCATTAGTTGCACATATGTAGCTAATCAATCAGAAAAGTCAATAGGCTTGATTTAATGAAGGGGGGGCAGGAAAGATTCTCCCATGTAGAAAGTCTTCATCTTCACAAAATTGCCACACCAATCCTAAAACCGAGTTAATAGGAAAGATTTCTTTTCACTAGAAGTGACACATTCTTGTTTACTCTAGGATCCACCACTTCCTACCCATATAGTTCATTAGATATAAAAATCTCCTTTCCACCACTAACCACCCGATATGCTCAGTATCATGGCTCTTCTGGTTTGGAGTTTATTGCCTGCTTCTAGAGTCAACTTCTAGAAGGAATCTTCAGCAGGGAGATACTGTTTTGCTGTATGGGCAAGGGGAAACACCATGATGGGAAGACGAGGGGGAGAGGGAGAGTCTTGGATACTGCAGACTTTACCAGTTATGTCATGTTGTTTGAATGACTCACTGTAGATCTGATACTGATTTGGACAGTGTTTCTTCAACCACTTGCAGACATCCTGCTGGGTCCACAGGGCCACTGGTTTTGACAGCTTCACCGTAGCTGACTGTGGAGAAAGAAGCAAAGGAGAGTCTGTTAATATGGCCCCATGCCTGGAAAGGCACTGATTTTCAACATCCTAGCCTGCTTGGTAAAGGCTATAGCCTGAATTCCCTGAAGAGAAATATGTAGCTCTAGTTTCTTTCTAACCTCTGCAACCTTCCTTAATATTGAAAACACACACACAGACCTACCGACAGACAGATACACACACACACACACACACACACACACACACACACACACACACACACACTCAGACACGAAAAGGTAAAAGGTGCAAGAGGAAAAGGCAAGGAAAATTTGACCCATTCTTGAGTTATTATCTCTACTGGGAAACCTCCTAGAAGTAGTATGTTTTATATATTGTAGCAACAAGATAATAAAGTTTCTACCCACGTGCTTATGTTTTGGGTGTAAAATAGCCATTTTCAAAAAAGCCTTTCTGTTTGCTGGAGGTATCTCTGTCTCCTCCCTGACATCCTGTTGCCTAGTAGAGCACTTGCCCCAGCAGGTGAGAATAATGGTTTCAGGACTGAATG